TGTTCTGACAGACACCATCTCTGTTCTGGGTACTCCTCTTGAACCTCTGGAGACAATTTTCAAAAAGGAAGACTTCATAAAGGGAAGGGCATTAAGGACAAAATTTTGCATTCTATTCAGAAGATTGTTAAACAACAACAGAGGGGTTTCATTAGGGGGTTTCTCCAGATCTGGCACAAGATAGACCACTACAGAGGATCCTTCCTGCCTACAGCTATAATAACTACAACAATTGCTTGGAAAACTTCCCCTCGGAATTAATGAAGTTTTTTTTTACTAAATTGAACTAAATTAGATTTAAACATTTATTTCAAGTATAAGCCTACTGATAATCAATCTATAACATTAATATACTTGCAAATTAATAATTAAACATATTTTCTGGTATAGTTGTACAGTAATTTCTTGTTGAATTTTGTTTTGCTGGCTTGAAGATATTTTCTTTACAGTTTTGAAACGTGTCTGCTTTAACTTCTTGTAAAGCTACTTCAGTAGACAATTGTAGAAATTGAACCAAGCTTTGCAAATAATTCTACAAAGACAAATTAATCTTAAATCAAGAATATTGTAGACAACCATAAGCATCCTGTTTAAAAGACTGTTAAAAAAACAACAGAGTGTCTAAGGCTTTTCCAAGCTTAATAATAGTGTCCAATTAAGGGCTTTTTCAGTTCAGGTACAAGACAGACACCTACAGAAGATCCTGCCTACAGCTATCATCATGCCACAAAAGTATTTTTGAATAAATTGAATAGAGCATTACTATACAAGAAAAATTGGAAAGGAGAAGGAAATAGGGAGGGAGACATTTTTTTAATATTCACTCCTTGAATTATGAAGCTAGAAGAGTCTCAGTATTAACAAGCTCACATATGTCATCCATTCATGCACACAAGATCCCCATATGCAGCTCCCAATATCACATGAGGATCAAAACAAGCAGAGCAAAGACAAGATTCACAAAAGTATTTACCTGAATATTTATTCTCTCCATTATTTCAAAAGATTACATATGGAAAATATATAAAAATTGACAGGCCCTTTTCCCAAAATGTCCATTCACAAAACAAAGTGTTGTTTTCATGCAATGAAAAATCTGTTGGACAGACCAATGTTGATTAATTTTGGCACATCCTTCTCAACAAGGTATTGCCAACTGATTTCCATCTGATTCAAACAAATTCAAACATAAAAACACAATATGCTCTTTCACCTGATATTACAAACATTGTCCCTATTCTGTCCCCTCGAATTGTATTTTGTTTTTTTTACTTAGATATGAAGTTATGGTTCAAACAATTGCCAAGGAAGGAAGGAAGTTATCCCCTATGTGAGTAATTATTACAGTAGTATTCAGTCATAGATTTCTTTAAACATATCTATTGGTTGAGCAATGCAAATCAAATGGACAAAAATATTTAAATGTAATTTTTTTTAGCATAAACTACACATTTAACTTTTAACTCTGTGTGGTGTTTTTTTTTTTTTTTTGACTGAACCGCTGTTTTAAAATTACTTCACATTTACAGATAAATGTTTGTCTAGGCCTACTAACTTCTCCATGAGGCGGGAGTACTACTTTTTAAAGCAGTGTAGAGTACTGCATAGCCCATTTGAGGACCATCAGCCCCAATACCACTCATTAAGGTTATTGATTGCCCTGTATTCTTTATGCTGTCTTATGTATTTACAAGCCTTGCATGTGTGCTCTACCCAGAAATGGGGTTTTTTGACAACAAAGTGCTTTCTCCATTTAAAGTATGAGAGGTAAAGTTCCTGGTTCTTGTCCAAGAGGAGCAGGTACTCGGCCAGCTCTTTGGGTGATTTGAAATCATCCACATGGATAAAAGCATCTCCTGGAACAAAGTTCTCATAGTTCTGTCTGCTTGTGCCGAGAGCCACTGGCACTGTGCCCAAAGACAGGGGGTTGTACAGTTTTTCAGTGATGTAGTCCTTGTGGGCTGAGTTCTCAAAGGACAAATAGAATTTACAGCTAGATATAGTAGGGTTGTAATCTTTGTTAGAAATGTATTTGCCAAAAGCACTTCCATATGCATCGATATTAATGTGCTTTTGCAATTCTTGATAATATTTCACCCGCTTATAATTTGGATTCCAGTTGCTGACAATCCAACAGACCAGTTTGTTTTTGCTTGGTGGCACAAAGTCCTCCAGAGTTTCTGTTTCCTTTAACAATCCAGAAGGTACGGGGATGTCCGAATCCTGGCGGTAACTCAAAGTCAGGTTGAACAAGTTGTTAATCTTAGGCAGCTTGCGTGAGTTTGATGGAGACTCCATGTTCATCCAAATCCATCTCTGCAATGGGGGTCGCTGTAATTTTGGCATGTTGGATAAGTCCCCATGAATGTCTCTGTGGTGGAAAACGACCCCATCAGACTGGTTGTAGAACCTTCGGTCGGCTGTAATAAAACAGCCCTCAATGTTAAAGACAGAGCTGCAGATGTCCATTTTCTGGGTGCTTCCAAAGGGCAGGAGCCAAACAAGAACAATGGTAAAGTTTGTGTAATTCTTTTTGGTATCAAAGACGTGGTTGGGATTAGCAGAATCTGAGAACTTCACCAGATCATTAAACCAGCTAGTGGAGGGCTTATAATACATCAAAAAGGCAGTCACAAAGCATCCAAGAACAAAAATACTCAATAGAAGGGGTTTTTGGATTTTGTGAAAAGCTCCGGATGACATGGTTTGCTGTGAGTAGGATACAGAAAAGAGGAGAAAAGTACAATTAAAAAGATTTGATTTATGTCAATTTATTGCTAATTATTCCAGGTAACTATTTGAAAGTATTCATTTTTAATGTACCTAATAGAAACAAGATGCTTTAAATGTGTACCCTGCTTGTATAACAATGTAAAATACATGGGGTATAAAATGAAAGAAAAGCTTTCTCAGTCGCCTTGCTTAACATACCTGTTTTCTGTATGCTGGGATCCACACAAAGCCCTTTTCTGAATCAGTGCTATGTGAACTGATCTGTTGGTTTGTACTCAGATATGCCTCTTTTATTTTAAAGTTTAAAAAAAAAGTCTTTGACGATCTGCTGAGGTGTGGTTGATCTTAAATTTGCAGGTCCTGAGTGAGCCCCCACTCCTTCATATGAGAGACGAAAAAAAAAAAGAAAAACAGCGTTGATACATTTAGTTTTAAATGGATGAATACATAAAGATAAAGTTAGAATTGAATAATACATTTATCTTAGGAATACATTTTGAATGCTTGATTGGAATATTTTTTAACTAATCACCAATCTTTAAAATGCCTTACAAGTTGGTTTTGATTTAAATTGACAACATTGTGATTTATTTTACGATTGCAGTACACCATAAGTATTTCAGTTTATCTTATTGAAAAACACTGATAAAAAAAAAAAAAAGCTTGCCAATTAGGTATAGTGTGCCATAATATAAATGACAGCATTGAAAGTGGGTTCATTTTAGTACGTTTGAAGAGGTAGATAATATTTCTGTGTGAGACTAGTTTGTTGTCTGTCTGTTTTACAACATTATCTAAACAGGTTCATTTTGTTCCTCCCTGGTATTTAATGATAACCTCTCCTTTATGCAAAGTCGTTCAACCTTCACACAAACGCACACACACACACACACACACACACTGCCAAACTGGTTTAACT